GCGATCGCTATTGCAATTGCAAAACAATGGTTCCAAGGGGTTTTTTTCGCTTTACATTGATTAGGTTTTAAACAGCTGATCGGTGGTTCTCTATGGGCGATCTTCACTGGACGATGAGGTATTTCCCCACTGGAACACATTAACCGGTTTTCAATGCTTTCCAATGAGTTTTTTTTTCTCTTGATGATGATTTCGTTTAACAACGATTTTCCTGGGACGGATTATCGTCTTCAAGCAGAGCACCACTGTATTCCCAGCCCTGATTTCAGATCACCTGCTGTTGTAGGCATGGTGATCCATTTCTGATACAGTGATGGAAAGTATGCAAGAAACCTGAAAATTTCACCATTACTGCATTAGTCTACAGTAGTGCAATATGTTTGCTGTGAGAAGGGAAGAAATTTGTTAACCACAGGAGAAGGGAATCTAGAATCACTTTCTCTTTCCCCAGTCTCTACCCTGTCATGACTCATTGTCTTTTCACAATGCTGCTCAACTTGGTGGTGCTGTTCTTTAGCACCATATTGGTTCATGATAAGGCCATACAAATCCACAATTTGTGCGGGGATGAGGGAACTGATCTGCGTGTGGCATGCGCATGCGTGTGTGTTCACACAAGCAAGGCTTTTTTTTTTATTTGAGCGGCTATTTAAAAACTACCTTTCAAAGAAACTTTGAATGAAGTGGACTAATATAGCTCACTGCTGCCTAAAGTCCTGGACTGGCAGCTGCAGGAACCCAGAAATACACTGTTCTTAGAAAGGCACTTCAGCAAAGTTCTAGCATTTCGGCTGTTACTTTTTCAAGCCTCCCTAATTCTCAGTTTAAATCAAGGTGCCAGGTGGATGGATTAAAAGTGCACATTCTGGACCCTTCTCACATCCAGGCTTAAGGGGTGCAGCTCAGGTTGGCAGCTATGTTGAAAAGGCAATACTGTAGATGTTGGACTTTGAATGCATTCCAAACCATGTGACTCAGATGAAAGCCCACTGGTTTCAATGGCTCTCACTCTGACTTGACTATGCACAGCATAGCTTACTCTTCACAATGGCTTACTCTTATTGTGACTGTGCAGTGGGAAAACTGCAGCTCTGTAGATTCAATTGATTCACAATGGCTTACTCTTATTGTGACTGTCTGTGCTAAGGTAAGTCTCAGTGAGTAGCCCTATTTGAATCAGTGGGACTTACAGAGGAGTGGACTCACCAAAACTCTTTTGATTCAATGAGCCTACTCTAGTGCATTTTACTACACTAAGCAATAGGATTTAGCATGTGACCTGCCCAAGGTAATGCAGAGACTGCCGTGTTTCAGTAAGGTCTAGAACCCAAATCTCCCAAGTCCCAACATTCAATCAGTTCTACCACTCCCTGTAAGTTTTATGATCTCCCTAATATTAAGCTGGCAAAGATGTGAATAAGATTAGAAGCATGGTCAAATAAGAATCACAAGAACAGACAAAATACCACATTTTCTGTATCACACTCTGTGAATATTTATGCATACAGTTCTGAGACTGAGGCATTATACCTCTCTTTATTCTAAAGAAGACGATATATATTTAAGAAATGACACAAAAGCATCTTTCCAGGTACTATCATTTTATGTAGATATGAGTTTTCCCTGCCAAGCCATTCACAGAAATGCTGTCCAGTGTATATGTTCACCCTCTAGTCTACCCCATCTCCAGCATACTATTTATTACTATTTTTATTTTTACATTAATCACTGGTTGTACAACTCTTCTAAAATTTTTATAAAATTAACATGGGAACCTAAAGTTATTTAGTATGATTTCCTGAAATATTGATTTTTGTACCATATTTGAATATGATGTCTTCATATACAATAACACATATGCCCTTGATGATGTGCTTGCTGTAGCCTTTACTCTCTACAGCCTTATTAGCATGTTTCTGTTACTACTAGGCACACATTCCAGAGCATGGAAGTAAAAAGTGACAAGTAACAGTTACTAGTAACAGTAAAAGCTTAAAAACATTATCTGAATCACAATTCCCATAAACCCCACGCTAACTGGAGAATTAAGGGAGCTGGAGTGCAGAAAGAAAGAGGACAATTTCTGAGTTCTGGGAACTGTTCTTCCTCCTTGTTTTGTAACAACGAAGTTACATTTCAAAAGCAAAGTAATGAGTGGAAACAAAATTACTTCATCAGTATAATAAATACCATTTTCTTGTTACTTTTAAAAAGTTACCTTTAAAGAACCTTTACTAAGGCACTTTTGAAAGCATTTTGATAGGAAACACACTTTTATGCCATTGTCATAAGGATACTTCTTTTGTTTCAAAAAAGTTACAAGCAACACAGCATGTTACTTTTCAGCATTGACAAGTAGTAACAACAGTTCAATATTACAAATGGATAATGTGAATTACTTTAAAAAGTAATTTCTCAAGTCATGACTAAGTCAAAAGCAAAAAAAGTAGTATAACACCTGTTTCTCTAAAGGGCTAGGTATCTGTTTGCTCCAGCAATGGGCCCATATGTTTTTGAGCAAAACGGCACTTCACTGGGGAGAATCTAGGTTATTCACTAAATGTCCTCCAGGATATGAAATGGCACAGGTAGACCATTTTACCCTTCATCACCACATGTTCTGGTTTTCTTTTACAAGATGTTGTGGTTTGTAGAGGTCTCTGGGCATATTCAGTCTCCATTAGGCTGGTCTTTTTTATTCTGGGTGTAAAAAAGTGTTTAACATTTTGCATACCTCAGAGCTCACATCAGCATGCTGATATTTCTCTCTTGTTTTTTGATGGCCTGGTTTTTGGCTGTAACCCTACTGAAACTCTGACATCTGAGTTTACTGTTAGAGAAAGTATTCGTGCAGAATAGACTTCAGTTTTGCATGGTTTTCAAAACTGAAGCACCATTCTATGTTTTTACATTTTACATTCAGGATTTGTCAAGAGTTCAAGGTCAAACTCAGTGTTACTTTAAAGACTCATTGAGGTGGGCTATCACTCCTCCCCCCTTACTGAAAAGTAAGCATGATTCCATTTATGACTGTAGCATGGGAGACACTCTTCCCTCCCCCCCCCGTCACAATGGTGGTCCTGATATGAGTGCTAGTTAGATATGGGGATATTCATATCTGAATACCCCAAGGCTCAGTCCTGGGCCTGGTACTCTTTAATATTTTTATTAATGACTTGGATGAGGGAATGCTTGTCAAATTTGCAGATGATACAGAATTGGGTGGAATAGCTAATACCCTAGAAGATGAAAACAAAATTCAAAATGACCTTGATAGGTTGGAGCTCTGGGCTGAAAACAACACAATGAAATTCAGCAGGGATAAGTGCAAAGTACTGCACCTCAGAAAAAGAAACCAATTACACAGTTATAAGATGGGGGATACCTGGCTCAGCAAAACTATGGGCAAGAAGGATCTTGGAATTGTAGTAGCTCACATGCTAAATATGAGCCAACAGTGTGATGTGGCTACAAAAAAGGCTAATGCTATTTTAGGCTGCATTAATAGAAGCATAGTTTCCAAATCCCGTGAGGTGCTAGTCTCTCTCTATTCAGCACTGGATAGGCCTCACCTTGAGTATTGTGTCCTTCAAGAAGGATGTTAAGAAATTTGAACAACTTCAGAGTAGGGTGACAAGGATGATCAGGGGGCTAAAAACCAAGCCTTGTGTGGAAAGGCTGAAAGAACTGGGCATGTTTAGCCTTGAGAAGAGGAGGCTGAGGGGTGATATGATAGCACTTTTCAAATATTTGGAAGGCTGTCATACAGAGGAGCCGCAGGATCTGTTCTCGATCATCCCAGAGTGCAGGACATGCAACAATGGGCTGAAGTTAAAGGAAGCCAGATTTCAGGTGAATATCAGGAAAAACTTTCTAACTGTTAGAGCAGCACAACAGTGGAACCAGTTCCCTCAGGAGTTGGTGAATTTTGATTATCTGAAGGCATTCAATGAAAACATAGATAATCACCTGGCAGATATGTTTTGATTATATTCCTCCGTTGAGCAGGGGGTTGGACTTGATGGCCTTGTAGGCCCCTTCCAACTTCCCTTTTCTATGATAATTGTCTGGTTGGGGGAGAGAGGAAATGTCCCAAACCAGAAGATTCTGGAAACATCTGTCCCAACCTAAGAGTGGTTCAGTTTAGCTTTCCTAAACTGCCATCAAAGCTTAGTTTTCTCAGATATCCTTAGATCTTCACAGGACTGCAACTTGCAGCAGGACCTTTTGATTGGAAAACCTGGTAATAGGTCACCGTAGAGTAAGAATTATGGGGCAAAATCACCAATCAGGTTGAGATTGAAAGGACTTGGACAGAAGGAAAACAGAAGATTGTGATGGGCATTATAAATATTACTGACAGATCCATTGTTGATGCTCAGTTTCATAACAGTATCTCTGGGGTGGCCTATGGTCCAAGGTAGGGGAGATGGAGTAAGGTATCCCCCCCCTACTCAGGCCACAAGCCACTGATAGATGAACATCTGGACTTAAGTAGGAAATATGACCAACACAAAACTACTATACATTTAGTTGCAGTGCAAGTATGAGGTTCATTAGTAGAGTTGGAAGGCTTTCACATTTGCAGACATTCTTTGCTTAAAACACATTGCTACTTGCCATGCAGCTTATGTACCAAATTCATTCCCTGTAAATATATTTATATTCATGTATACTTAACAGCAATAAAATGTTGTCTATATCCACAGACATATACTTTGTTTCCCCTTTTTGAAGATTCTGGCATAATATTTTTTTTCTGCCTCTGGCGAAAGTTTTTAAACAGCAATTGAATTGCATATGCGGTTTATTTTATGTGTAACTTATAAAGATTTCCTGTCCATATTGATTTAAAAAAACAATCTAATCTATATACCCATAATTGGACAACGTAAGCAGAATTTATATTGTCCACATATGGAAACATCACAGTAAAAACACATTCAATGCAGTGCCACACAACAATTTATTTAGAATATTATTAGAATAGAAAGACTTACCGTATTTATGAAGATAACCTTCTGAGCAATTTCCTTTCACTCTGCTAAGTACAAGTCCAGATCAGCAAATGAAAATGCCTTTTTACAGAAGTCAAACTCTCTTTAGGCTTTGTCTTCTGAGTACCCAGAACACTTAACTATGGAAAGGTATACACGTAGCTTGCCCTTATGGAAGCTTTATAATACTTCTCCCCATCTCCATTTGTATTGTGCAGACATAGACACATCAATGTTAGGTCCAGGGACCTCAGAGACAGCTGTGTAAAGGAGAGATGGAGCAGAGACCCTGGCACTGATTTAGACCAAACTCTAAATATAACCCAACCCACTTTCTGTGCTTGTCTCTCTCCCAAGGACTGAAGAGAGGCGACCTTGCTGGAAAACTGACCTCTCTGCAAAAGAGATAGGACAGCAGGCAAGCAGCAGGCATCTGGCTGCAGGAAATAAGCATGAGTATGGGCATTTATCTGTATCACACCTGCATTCTGCTCATTTTCTACACGTGTGCATTGTTGTTGTACAGTTAGCTCAGGAGAATTACTGCTTTCAGTGTTTTGCCTCTTCTGTTCTTGAGTTTTATTAAAAGTGAGAAGAGGAGACTTCCCAGTTGTGAAGTGCGTAGTGCTTCCCTCTCAAATATCACACGAGGGATGTTCAACTGTGCCATGATTTGTGTTAATGCTTTGTCTTAAGCTTAGAATATGGATAGAAAGGCTTGAAAATATTACTTTTAGGGGGTGGGGGGCTTAGCTCTCAGAATCCCCCAACCAATGGCCTTGCTAGCTTTTGTATCCTGTGTGTTATAGTACAAAAAGTAAAATTTCCGTGCTCTGATGGATGCCTACCTTCCTTGACAAGAAACTGTTGCTTGTGTTATGTTAAAAGCACTCAAAGCATTTGCAGGAGAACCTTTAGGAAAGGGAGCATGAGCAGCATCCGCCCAGGGACCCACATCAGTTGTATTGTATGTTTTCCTTTGCCATACCAAATTTGAGCAGGGCAGCCTATGATCTGAGCAGTAAGAAGGAAACTTATCCTGAAAAGGCAGATGGGGCACTTCCACACACTCTGATCGATCGCAAGTCTTTGCTATGTTTTTTAAATAATCACTTTGCAATTTCTGAATTTTAAATTAAACAGGACAGTATGTGCATATGTTGATATTAATGGTAGTCTCTTATTACCTGAGATGATGAGGTTTGACACAACTCCGGGAGGCAGTAGAAGCATATGTATATGTTGATATTAATGGTAGTATCTTATTACCTGAGTGTGGTGGGGCGGACTCCTTCAAGAGTCAGGAGACTGAGATAATAGAAACTGATTCCAAGAAGCCAGACTAGATGGGGCACTGGATGAACATGTCCTGACCCATATGGAAAGGCAATGTATCTGTGGGTTCAAGTGTGGTGGGACGGACTCCTTCAAGAGTCAGGAGACTGAGATAATAGAAACTGATTCCAAGAAGCCAGACTAGATGGGGCACTGGATGAACATGTCCTGACCCATATGGAAAGGCAATGTATCTGTGGAGTTAAGTTTCAAGTGATGATAAATAACTTTCTCTTTGAAGTGCCTAGCAAATTTATTACAATTTATTAAAATTTATTTTAAATTTATTACTCCTGGTGCCTTTGAGCCAGATCTCAACAAATTCTTCACCACTTAGAACAACTCCTCTGAGCAGCATGTCAAGAATTAAATACTGTAGGCAGAATAGGATTTTTTTTTTGCCCTCTGGACTGCAGTAACCAATGGTAAAAAAAAAAAAAAAAACTTCTGTTAAAACCACTCTTCCATTACTAGTTCCGTTTAGGCTTCAGAAAACTCATATACAGCAGGGAATATCTGCACTACACCAGTAGAAAAGTTGGAGATTAGTTGTGAAGGTGGGGGAACTTTGAAAGCTCTTATGAAAGTATGAACAAATGTGAGAGTATAAGATGCTGCACATTGTGACCTGTCCTACTGTCCCAGTCTATGTGCGTGATGAAAAATCCTGTAGAGTTTCTCACCTTAAAACCAGCAGTATCAATCAACAGGAATTCAGTTAGCTGGAAAAAGAAAGTTAGCTCAATGATATAAAAGAGAGAAAATCATTACTTACCAGTAAATGAATGGGAGGCGGATGGTTAAATGTAACTGATGATAGTTAGAAAAGATGCGGCACTTTAATGAGAGAATATTATTTTGAGCAGAAATGAAAAAAATTGTTCTATTGAGAAACTAAATATGCTCATAGCTATCTCTATGAATTGATTCTACTCGATGTGCTCGTTTAAATGGTTTGGTGGTTATAGGGAATGTGCATGGGTTAAAATAGTTTGTAATCAGATATTTTACAACAATCAAGCATGATAAGAAAGAACTTATTTATCTCAACATTATTACCGTACTTTTCGCTCCATAAGACGCACAGACTTTCCAACCCCCTGTTTTGTGGGGGAAAAGTGCGTCTTATGGTGCGAAAAATACGGTAATATATAACTCTAGAAACATTCATACACACGTATATGGGCTCACATTTGTTTGTGTGTATGGCATCACATTTATTTTTTCTGCCCTGGCAAATCCTGGCTTTTCCATGTCTGAAATTTCAGTTGTTGAAAAGCCAAAAGAGAAAAAGAAGACACACAAGTCATTCATGGCAATTTTGGCTACTGTACCAAGAATGTGAGCATAAATGAAGTAACCATGTGTGATTACATCACCAGAAATGGTAGATCAAAGCAGATTACTTGTTTTCTAAATGACAGCCACCTTGAAGTAGTCTCTTGAAGTATGATATGCTTATTATTTGTACAATTAAGGCATGTAAAGCAAGGCCACTGGTCATTGCAGGAAGCAAATCAAGTAGATGTATCAAATTCAAGTTCGCTTCTGTTGCATGATGATGATGATGATGATGATGATGATGATGATGATGATGATGATGATGATGATGATGATGATGATTATTATGTAATCTCAATATTCCTGAGACAAGGCAAATTTATGAGTCAGCTTCTGTTGTGTTTATAGGACAGTTCATTGTTTTTATAATTTGTATTAAGTGGCATTTAGACTTTTTAATCAATACAGCTCGGGGATCATGATCTGGATTTAGAAGCCACATGATTACTTACACAGGAAAAAAAGAGTGTTCAGTATTGTGTATCCTGTTGCTTTATTGTGCCTGTGTAAGGCAAATGGTGTAACATTCAGTTATTTCTAGCTAGCAATTAAAACTTGAGTCACTTCTGAGATTGTTGTGCGACGAGGCACATGCTCCTTGGTTTGTCACATGCTTGAGAATCCCCAGGGGGTTCATTAATAGCCAGATGGAAGGCACTGAAAGTTCTGTCATTTGCCTTCTGCAGTCCTAACAGAGCTACAAAACTTCTGTCAATGTACAGCACTATATTGTATGTTAAATTGTTATAATATTATGTGGGATCAACTGCCCTTTGACTCATCACGTCACCACTGTGGAGCATGTTGTGTTTTCTTAAAGCACTGTACAAACCTTAGGCAGTTTATGTATTATAACATGTCACTTGATGCAAAAGCTGGGATTTAGTTCTGTATATACAGTATTTCTTGCAAAACAAAAACAAAAAAAAATACTGTGGCATTTTCATGTTCCATTTGAATGACCCAAGTTCACACAATATTTTCATCTATTGTTAAGAGGCTTCTTCCTTAGATTTGCATTTCTGTATGATGCTAAGGTGATCTCGTTGGAGGATACTGCATGTGGCAGTTGAATCCAGAATGAAGACAGGCAGTTGACAGGTGGTGCATTGTTTGCGAAGTTCTGTCCTGGAAGCTATTTGTCTACTTTTAGCGTTCTATAACAGGCCATATGCTGGCAGATACAGAAGGGACTATTTATGTCTCTGCTTTGCTTAGACCTCTCCCCTTTCTGGACATGCCTAGTCAGGTTTTATAAAGAAATGTTAAAGTTAGCTGTCAGATCTTCTTGGCAAGCTACAGACCGTACAAAGTCCCGGCATTACAGTATGCAAAATGTTATTTGGGAAGCAGTTGACTCAGCATGTGAATAGAGCAATACAGGCATATTCCAGTGCATGCGAATGTTGAACCCCTGGATGACCTTCTGTATAGAAGGTTAACTATATGTTGTAGTGAACTATATGCAATAATAAATACTAGCTGTCTTAAGTGGAGTCTGGTGCACTAGCATTCTTTCCATATATATTAATGCAAAACACCTCAATATTGTGCAACCCCCAAAGTTTACAGGCCCCTGTCAGGCCATTTTAAAAAGTACTTCAGTTTACAAACCTCTGTACTTCTTAAAGGCTAGGATTTTTATGTGGCATAAGCTTTTGTGCTTAAAGAATTGGGCTGTTTCCCAAGAAAGCTTATACCAAATAGCAACTTTTAGTCTTGTGCTATTAAACCCATTGTTAGTCTTGTTTTCTTTTGACCATAAGCAGCAAAATTTGGGGTTTGTGTGTGAGAGAGTCATTGTTTTCTATTCAGTCTAGAAGCCACCCTTAGCAGGGACAGACTGCCACAGCTACACTCCTAAAAGATGTACGTGGCTGCATACTTTTTGACTCTCTAGAGTATGGAAAAATGGCAATCTAATTTTGGGAATCCTGTTTTAGTTCCAGACTGATAAGCATTTAATGATACACATTCACTTTTAGAAGGACCGATTGCACCAAAGTTCTCTGAGCATCAGGAAGAACCGTGAATAGGTTACTGAAATCTGTTTTTCTCTTTAGACCTGTCTGAGGATGAGTTTTTGAATGAAGACACTGGCCAAAGCATACCTGTCCAACCGTCTGCAACCCTACAGTCTGTTTCTTCAAAGAAAAAAAGGAAGCAGGTTGGTTGGTTTTATTTTCATGACTCATAGGCAGAAAGCTCTAATGCTTAATAGAAAATTTTAAAAAATGAAATTCCTGCAGGCAGGATAGAATGTGTGGAACCCAAATGTCTGTTTTTCCCCTGATGTATCCTTCAGAAGGGCTTGTGACTGGAGCAGGATAATGTCCCCTGAAGACCCTGCCCACTACCCTCTGTCCAAGCTGCCCCTGCATGTTCTGGTGTCTCCTGTTCAGAATTTTATTTAGTGCCAACAACATGACCACAAGATGCATGTTTACTTTTTTCTCTCCTGTCTTTGAAATACTTGGAAATGCAGTTACATATAACAGAGGGGAAACCTTGGCAAAAGGTTGGCCTGTAAAAGTTGGGGTAGTGCTTTTCCAGGCAACTTGTGTGGGCATTGTAGAAAATCATGGGGAGTGGTTATAAGGCTGCATAAGATACCCATGCCCCCAGTGGGTGGGAGAAAGGGGTCTGTGCAGGTGCCAACGTCTCATACCAGAAATGGGTCTGGATCTCCTCTTGTTTGGAGAATCTCTGCACAAACACATTTGTACACACGGAGAAGATCCTTCACACACATACTGAATGCATGGATGGCAGTGGGGGCGGCCATCAGTTGGAGTGGAAGCAAAGTTCGCCTTTTGAAAAATAACACCAGAAATGTAAATACAGTGTTGCCTCGCTTGACGATGTTAATTCGTTCCAGAGAAATTGGTGTAGAGCGAAATCGTCATCAAGCGAAATAAAAAACCCATTGACACGCATTGAAAACCGTTCAGTGCGTTCCAGTGGGCAAAATACCTGCTAGTTCAGTGAAGATCCTCCATACAGCGGCCATTTTCTGGTGCCTGTAATGCGAGGAATCCGTCCCTAAGACAGCGGGGAACCATTTTCTATAGCCGGTGGCCATTTTGAAACCTGACAATCAGCTTTTTGCTGATCATCGTAAAGCGAAAAATTGGTTCCCGAAGCAGGGAACTGATCAACGTTAAGCGAAATTCCCCCATCTAAACATCGTTTTACGATTGCAAAAGCAATCGCAAAAACTTCAATGTTAAGCGGATTCGTCGTCAAGCGGGGTAATCGTCCAGCGGGGCACCACTGTACCAGAAGTTTAAGGTGTCACTATCTGGCAGGGCCAAGTCTACCATTTGGCAGACTGAGATAAAATCTCCACATTGGAAACCTTGGAGAGCCAATGCTATTGCAGACAAGACTGAAGAGCTGGAATGTCTGACTTCATACCTTTGTGTCTTGTTCTTCATTGTGCTGGTGATGTATTCTAGCCCCTTTGAATCTCACTGGTTCAAATGTGGCAAAAGGTGTGAAAATTATAGCAAAAAAAATCTTAAACTGTCAGTGAACCAGAATTTTCCATAGCAGTTCCTTTAAATGTTTCTTTACACCTCTGCCCTCTCTAAAACACCTGTAGGAAATTAGGAACTTTTATTAATCCAAATACATTACTGTACACTAAGGAAAATGTAGTATCCAAAGAGCATGATGAAAATATCTGAGCACATTTCCCTAGTTCTTCCAATAACCTATGTTATTAATGCCAAGTTTTAGTCTTCTCCATGTTATCCACAAGTTATAATTAACTGGACAATTTCATTAGGTTACATGAATGTAATAGTTGTTAAACGTATTCTCGAAGGCTTTCACAGCCGGGATCTGATGGTTGTTGTGGGTTTTTCGGGCTCTTTGGCCATGTTTGGCCATTAGGAAGGTTGTTCTTCCTAGCGTTTTGCCAGTCTCTGTAGCTGGCATCTTCAACTGGAAAAATTGGCAGTAGCTGAACATGCCCTAAAACAAGCTGGACACGCAATTCTATTTAAAAATACTGAAGTACTGAACAACACCAGCAATCATTATGTTAGACTGCACAGGGAAGCCATTGAAATCCACAAACACCAACAGAGCTTCAACAACAAAAAAGAAAGTTTAAAACTCATCAAAGCCTGCCTCCCAGCACTGAAAAACACAGCCTGCAAAAGGTCAATGAACTCTACCCAGCCACAAGGACCGGTGATTACTAGACACAAAATACCAGTTAACGACACCCATCAATAACAGTGACAGATAATCTCTCCCCCTTATAACATCAATATACCTACAACAAAAAAAATCACTTATCACCATAATCACCCAATCTCTTGAGCAGGACAAAAGCTGATCCCACAACTATAAATACTCAACCATCCAAGCAAACTGCACTAGAGTCCAGTCTGGCTCTTGTCCTCTGCCCATGCCGGCCACAGAGACTGGCAAAACGTTAGGAAGAACAACCTTCAGAACACGGCCAAAGAGCCCGAAAAACCCACAACAACCAATAGTTCTTAGTTTGTTCATTTTTCTTTTCAGTTCTTTCTTATAAGGCACTGTTTATTTCCATCTATGATAGCTTTTCCTCCAAATCCACACTGGTTTTAGCAGATAAAGAGCATGATGTAAAATTTTATTATTTTCTGCCAAGGCCTAGAAGCCAAAATATGTGCCTCATTCCTCACCCATCAAGGTTGGGTTCTAAAGTGTTTTAATAATTGTATAATTATGACCAAATCCTACTCTTTTTTCCTCTTTCCTCCCTTCCTTTTCTTTCAGCCTACAGAGACTCATCTCACTGCAGAGAAAGAAAAGTCTAAAGATAAAAATGAAACACAAGTGAAACCAAAGAGGAGAAGAAAGGTACCAGCTTCTAACAAATATTGCAACATAAATGGTTTCCCTTGGTTTAAATCAACATTTAATTGGATACAACTAAAAATCAACTAGAGGGGGAAAAAAGCCTTACAAGTTATTTGTGTACACATTATTCCTAAAACATTACTTCTGAGTAGTCATGGGGTGTGTGTCCCCACTTTTATTTAAGTGGATTTTTGATTTTTGAAAGCAATTGAAAGCTAACTCATCAATAATTAAAACTTCACTTTGAGGGACAATTTATGAGAATTTTGACCACTTTCAATTGCTTAAAAAGTAAGTTAAAAGTAATTCATTGCTAATCTGTTGCCTGTGGAGAGTCCATCAGCAGGACAGGCATCAGGCAGTACCCTCACAGCATGCAAAGAAACAAATCATTGCAAAATAAAAATAATTAAGATACAGTGAATGAAAGGAACTAGTGCATCAGTAAACTATGGAATTTGCAAATGTTTTTGTGCACTTTTTTCAGCAGCAGCATTAAGAAAAACCTTGTTAATTCTGAATAAAATCATACATTTTGCACAAAGTAGAGTTCATTGACATAATACAAGGTGTTTTTTGTGCAGAGAAAGATTTGAAGGGGGAAAAAGTGCCAACATGAAATATGCACCAAAACCTTCATAATTTTGCCCAGAAACTGTTGAAATTGTTCATTCTCCTTGTGAGAATGAAAACTGTGAAGATTTATCCCTTTTATATATACTATGCCAGGCTCAGAGGGACCAGGCCTCTGAATAGCAATTGCTGGATAATACCTGACAGCACTATTGCCTTCATGTCTTGCATTAGGGCTTCCCATAGATATCTGGTTAGCCAAGCAGGAAGCAAGGTTATTCAGTACATGAGAGAAATGGAACAAGGCAAAGGGAGATGTTTTGCCCCCCTCATGTTTTGAATAGAAACCAAGTAAGTAACACTGAAACAGGCCTTTAACTGATCCAGTGTTCTTAAACAGACATTGAGTGCCTTTGCATGAAAGTGCATATGTAGCTCTGCAGACACACTTCCTGCAAGGAAATGCTACCCATATTGGGGATCTCTCAGGTAAAGTTCCCCATTTTTGTGCTGAGACTGGGATCAAATGTCATTTTTTGGTTCTTTCTAGAGCAACATTTATTGCTCCAGAATTCCACAGGAACATAGCATTGAATCCCATTGTGAATATATTGTGTGGAGATCAACATAGCATGGACATCAAGATAATTTATAATGTCCCAACAAATCTCTCTTTTCTAACCTCCTCACTCATTCTTTTGTGTCTGTGCATTTTTAAAGTCTTATGCTTTTTGCCATCTGGAACAAATTAGAAGCAAAATAATAAAACTTCCTGTGTGAAGAACATTTCCCCCCATAGCTTTTCTTTGAAGGAGGGGAACATGTTCAGGTGTCCTTGTTCTTACTGTTATGGAATTTCTTGTTAATATCAGCATCGCCCTCAAGAGGATCATTATTTTCCTGTAGGAATTGAGTGACTCAGTGAATGATGTAATACCCATGAAATAGCAGTTACTCTCCCCTGCTGCACTATACCCTAGATTTTAAATGAAGTGAGTCCCATTGATCTTTGTTAGATTTGTATCAATGTAAACTATTTTGAGTGCATAAAATAGCACTCTGAGAGTTGTCCAGTAGACAACCATTGTGTTTAAAGGCAAAGTTTTTAATTGGTTCAGATTAGTGTGCTCCTTAGAAAATAAGGGGGGGGCATGGATACTCTTAGAATGCAGCTCATTTCTGAGACATTTCATAGGCAGTTCAGCCACCTCTCTTCTGCTTTAATTAAAATTCTTTTAGGAGATCCCGTACAATAGCTGTCCTCTGCCTGACACTGTCCAAATGTGTTATATTACAGTTCCCATCATGCTGGTTAGGGCTGATGAAGATTGTCTTTATAATACAGACTATAGTAAAATTACCATATGCAGGATTTGAAGACCTTCCCTTGTCATACTAGGCACAAGTATGAAAGCACAATACAGTGGTGCCCCGCTAAATGACAACCCCGCTAAACGTCGAATCTGCATGACGATGACTTTGCGATCGCTGTAGCGATTCGCAAAACAGTCATTCCTTTGGGGGATTTTCGCTGGACGTCGATTAGGTCCGTGCTTTGCGAACCATTTGTTTGCAAGACGATAATTTTTTCGACTCCACAAAAAGGCTGCCCTATGTTTTCCGGACCCATGCTTCGCAGGGCAGCCATTTTTACAGCTGATCGGCGCTCACAAAATGGCTTCCCTGTGGGCAATCTTCGCTGGACGACGAGGTATCTTCCCCATTGGAATGCATTAAACCGGGTTTCAATGCATTCCAATGGGGAAAGGGTTTTCACATGACGACGATTTTACTAAACAGCAATTTTCACAGGACAGATTATCGTTTTCATGCGGGGCACCACTGTATATTGAACAGCTTGATCACTAAAGTCTAGCCACTGTGTTGAATGCCCTTCTTTATTTCTTCAGAAGAAAATTACCGATATTCTTGCAAAATCATCTCCAAAACCAGGAGTCCCTGCAGACTTACAGAAAATGCTTAATGAACACTTCGGTGCTAAATGTTCAGTGATTGAACTAGAAGAATTAAAACTGCCAGGTAAGAAAAGTTGGTATTAAAGTGATACAAGCAGGGGAAAAAGGGGGAGATATCACTTTGTGACATAATAAAATTGAAAGCCTATTTCATACCCAGGTTCAGACCCATTGAAATTAGTGGGTGTGGCGTTTACCCCATGGCCCCTGCTTGTTTCACCAAACACAGAGCTCATGAAGGTATCCCAGCATGCCCTTTTAACACGCTGCCACCAATTGATCTTTTTATCAACCTATATTTCCTATGAAAGACTGAGGTCCATTCAGTACTGAACTTTTAAACAGAAACAGGTTTATTGATTACAAGTTGTAGGTATAGTTCTTAAGCACATTCTTAAAGTTACATAAAGCTTCAGTATTTTACTTTAACCTATTCTATTTTAATACACGTCACACTCCGACTAATCTCTCCTGAAACACTCTCTCTGCCTCAAACCCCAAAACTCTTTCTCTCTTCTTTGTCTCTCTGACTGAACTGACTAGACTCTGACTCATCCATTCCTTCTAGTTTCTCTGACTCCGCCTTCCAACAGCTCTCATTGGTGCAGGCCACTACCATTATATATATAGGAAGACAGGGTATTCGTTACAGTGGGTCTTGTAAGTCACCACCAACACACATTATATTTATTTCAGTGGGTCTAGTTTACTTTGGACTGAAATTGCATTTAGTTAACAATGTGTATGTTTCCTAGCTATCAGTTAAGAAAAACAGCAAATAATCCACTTAAATGTGCTTGTGGCCCCTCACACTAGCACTGCATCACTGGTGCTTTGTGTAAATACAGTGTTTACAAAGACCAGTCCCTCTACACATGCACGTATGATATCTCCCAAGTTGCCCCAGTCATGCAAAATGCAGTGGCCTTGTATCAATCAGTTCACGGCAGACTTGAGGACTGCAATGTGAGTTTGCATTGAGGTTTTTGACACAGAAGCTAGCTTGACATGATTCAGCTATTCCTCATTGTACTTCACATGTACAGAATTTTTATCAACATGGAATAGTGATTGCATTTGTATGTGGTCATATGACTAGGACATGTATAGATGTTAAATCTAGACATAACTTGCAACTAAGAGTACAGTGGTGCCTCGCATAACGAGCGCACCAGTCAACGATGAATACGCATACCGATGTGGATTGTGCGATCGCTAATGCAATCGCATACCGATGTTTCTTCGCATTGCGAGCGGGAACACCCGTCAGGCGGTTCGAAAATGGCCACTGGAACACCCAAAATGGCCGCCAGAACAACCAAAATGGCCGCCGGAACATGGGAAAACATCGCAGAATGGTGAGTTTTGGGCCCGTTTGGAATGGGTTTTTTTGATCCGTATAGTGATGTTTCCCCATAGCGAAGGTTAATCCGGAACGGATTAACCTCGCTATGCGGGGTACCACTGTAGCTCAAGAAACAAGTTTGTGAATAAATCTTGGACCAAGTGGCTCTGCTATTTTGTTCATACATTTTCCTGCTTGCAATGCTTCTGTGCTTATTGTGTGCATTTGATTGGCAAAGCTGCATTGGTATGACCATGAATCCTGGGAGATTTTTCCAAAGCTGCAGCTAAAACATAAATAAGCGGTCTAATATTTAAAAGACAAACAGATTATAGCATGAACTCTCATGGACTGCAGACCATTTCCTTGGCTGCATTAAGTACAAAAGATGCTGTAAGAATATGTTATCCCGCAGAGTGTGATCATAGGGGAAGGAGTTCTATGGCATGTCATTTTTTTTTGTCTGCAACCGATATTTGAGTTTATGAGTGGGCTTGAACATGTTCATGAGTAATGTGGTGAGAAAGGCCAAATTACTCATAAACATGTTTGAACTTGCTTATGGGTTCAAATATAGGTTGCAGAGAAAATGTGAAATGTCATAGAACTCCTACCTCTACATCAGGGATCTTGAAAATATCCTCTTTGTGCCAATAAGAATGCTACACAGAAATACCGTTCAAAGAAAGTCACTAAAGTCACTTGTAATCTCGAAATTAGACTACTGTAATGTGCTGTATGTGGAGCTACCTTTGAGATTGATGTGGAAGCTTCAAATGGTGTAGAATGCGGCAGCCAGACTTCTCACTGGGGTGAGAAAATATCAGCATATTTCCCCCACTCTGGATGCCTTGCATTGGTTGCCTGTTTCTGCATTGATTTCAAGGTGTAATGACATATAAAGCCGTAAATGGTTTAGGACCTCGATATCTAGCGGAACGCTTCCTCCCACCTAGATCTACCCGAATCACTCGTTCTAGCCAAGACGGGCAGCTGAGGGGCCTAACACCTAGGGCGGCCCAGAGAGAAAGAACAAGAAGATGGGTCTTCTCGGCAGTGGTCCTCGCCTCTGGAACAGTCTGCCCCCAGAGATCTGTCTGGCTCCCTTGCTGGGTGTTTTTAAGAGCAAACTTAAAACCTGACTCTTTAGGCAGGCTTTCCCTCCTGTCATCACTTAATATTTTTCCCATCTTGAACTATATTACTACTGTTGTCTTTATTTTATTATATTGTTTTAACTTTTATCTATTATTGTTAGCGGACCAGAGTAGACTTCGGTCTAGATGGGTGGGGTAGAACGAACGGACGGACGGACGGATGGACGGACGGACGGACGGACGGAAGGAAGGAAGGACGGAAGGACGGATGGACGGATGGATGGATGGATGGATGGATGGATGGATGGATGACTTAGAAAGAGCCTTACCAACAAGATACTGGCACTGGCGGCTGTAAACAAGGACTACCCGTCAGAAAACATTTGGAGAGCCACCTGTTTCCCACCCATGTCTTACATCTACACTGGACTTCTATTTCTTTTTTGTTGGGTTTTGTCTGGCTTTAAAAAAAAAATCTCCATCATGATTTTTGTCTCCCATTTGTCTGGAAAGTTTGGTTGTAAGGCACTGTGTACATTTTTACTACTTATAACGAAATGCAGTACATTGAACTCAGTGTAATTGCGGGACTGGGAACAAGAAAGATGCTTTCAAATTTCTGAAGACCTTTAAGTGATAACAGCTGTGAAACAATAAATGTATTTCTATTTTGCTTTGTAAGGCACTACCTCTTGAAGACACAAATGTGTGGCATTTGTTGTATTGGCCTGGCCAGGGGTTTGCCAACTTGAACTACATTGTTTTGTGGTCTTGGTAAATGATTCAGTCCTTGAGAAAGTAGGCCGCAAAACATCCCATAGCCTGTGCATCCATTTCAATTGCATTCAAGGTTAATGGTGAGATAATTTTGGAAGGAAACTACATGGGGCTGAAAGTTGTTCCCATCATTTAGTTAATCTGCCTTAAAGCTTCTTGTTATTAGCTATGAGTGCTTGTGAAACCCTGCATTCCCACAGTGCACTTTCCTTGACTCTTGGCAAATAAGCTTTCCTGGAAGATTTAATCTAAAGTCTTAGCTGTAACACCAAGCAACAATAGTTGTCTCTTATGGTTTCAGATGCCTGTTTCCTCCCTGCCAATGACCTCACCCACAGTTTTTCCTCCTACCTGAAAGAAAGTGAGTAGATGGTGGTCCAGAGCTGTTGAATGCGGCTATAATTCTAAGGCTTATTGTTTCCCAGAAATATTTAGAAGAAAATCAGTTTTTCCTTAATTAGTCTCAATAAAGGCATTCCTTATTTGACATCTCAATTGAATAAGCAATAGGTGATTGAGGCTTAATATTGTTAGAATATTTCTTTTGTTTGTTACAACTGGAAAAATACAGTAATAAAAAAGGAGAATGAATTCCAGTGTACTCATAGCAGTTCATGTCACTCTGAAGCTCTTTAAATTCACATTGAATCCTGAATTGGTATGCAAAGATTTGAGAACTGGCTCTTTTGACCAAACTCATATGCTTTTTTAAAAATGCAAAAGAGAGACATGTACCAGACAGATCTACAGAAAAACAGAATGTGTTTATAAATCACTGGGATATAAAATATCAGGATAACTTTTAACCATATAATTTTCCCTTATATGACTTTTACAGTATTAAGTTCTATAATATTTATGATATTGAGCTTTATTTGTTATTTTTGCTTTCCTTCCTTTTTTATTCAAAGAGCAATTTTGAAACTGTAGTTTTATCATCTCCCCGCCCCCATATATGTACATGTATGCTCATGTATATTTTTTAAAACAGGAAAAATTGATTTTGCTGTATTACAGCTTGGATACCTCAATTGTTAACATATCTTCACATTTACAGTTATTTTGCTCATATATTTAATTCAACACCTTCCTGTCTGTGTAAGGGAGTCACATTTGCCTTAGGTGAACATAGCTTATTACTTTAATGGCTGGTTTTTGATCATATTGTTGTGTAATTAGGCACTATTGTACATATTGAATATCTGCTCTTGATGTACATTTTGCTTCACATTGCAGTTTGTCCCAAATGGGTAAAGCTCCGTAAAAACCACACAGAGAAAAAGTCAGTGGTGATGTTGATAATCTGCAGCTCAGCCCTTCGCTGTCTGGAACTCATCAAGTATGTCATTAGCTGATGTGATAGAACCTGGCACCTTACTAGATCTTTTACCCAAAATCAAAGGCAAATGCACGATGCTATTATTTGGCTGCTAGACTACTGTGTCAAGATGTAAATAACTCAGATGTCTTCTTTACCCTTTGGTCAGGAAGATTTAGATAACTGTTGCTCATTTACCAAGCTTTAGACCATTCTTCCTCAATCTGCTGCCCTCCCAGTGCATGGGACTAGTCCTCATCATCCTCAACCAGCATGGCCTTTGGAGTTGTAAATCAGCATATGGGAGGGGCAGCAAGTTGGGAAAGCCTTCTTTAACATGCATGTTTCAAACGTAAAATAACGTTTGCTTTTAAAAAGTCACTTATTTTCATACACTGTCATGTAAGTTCTCCTTAGTACCTTATTGGAAACACGCGTGAGTTGTGCCTAGGCCTGTTTGGAAAAGTTGCATCAGTGGTGCTGCCACCTCTGGTCAGTTTTATGTGTGAGAATGTAATTTTAATTGTCTGAAAGGGATGGGGCACAAATTCCCTTGATCTTTTTGATGGCTACGTAAAAGGAGGATTGGTGGGTGGAGCTTTTAATACAGTAGCTACTATAGCATAAGTTGTGCTTTGCAGATTCCCATCTCCTACAGGAGAACTGGAACACAGGGACGGAGGAAGCTGCCTTGTGCTTGGTCAGAATATAGATGTTGTGCATGTCTTATATTAAATCCCATTTTGAAGTGGGTGTTCTTTTAGGTTCCTTATTTTAAAATATCTTTTCTGTTCTAGATCAATAGCAGCATTTAAAGGAGAAGGAAGGGTTATGAAAATGTTTGCAAAACACATAAAGGTAACCTCAGTTAAAGGAAAGATTACTTGCATAAAATTGCAATTTGTTAATCTGCCATACTGTTTTCTTTGACTATCTCAAAAGTCATCATAAGTGTAGCTATCTAACTTACAAAATTTCTGAGCACTATTCTGAAATCCAGAGCTTGTACTAGTGTTTTCAGAATGCCCAGCTGGCATAGCTAGTAATCCAAGAACCAAATAACTTCTTCATGGTTTTTGTGACTCATATAGGTGGGTCTCAGCACCTAAGAGGGGACTGGACATCCCTTTTTAGGACTGGCAAAAGACACAAACAGTTACAACTGCAACCTGTCATTTTCTAGCCTCTGAGTCTTAACTAGCGTAGACTTCTTGGTACAGCAGAAAAACCAATGTCAGATTTTGACTTCATACCAAATCAGATGAAGCCAGAAACAGGACCTGCTTTACGACTCTGTGTTTCCATACTCATGCTTCTCTTTGTTTTTAAAAAGAGGTTTCAAGTACAGGCAGACATGTGTCTTACTTTACAGAAGAGGAGGTTTTTATCCAAAAAGGAGTGGGAAACTGTCCCTTTAAAAAGCCGCAGAGACAGATTCAATATAAGTGCAATATCAATGCCCTGAAGAAGGCTAAAAATACATTAGCCAAAACACGTTGGGCTCGCATCTTTAAATAATAAAGTGATACCCGTTTTACATCCTGGGACTATCATCTCTCCTAGCTTGAAAGCTTCAATGGATGTTCTTGTTTGTTTAGTTGTTAAGTCATGTCCGACTCTTCGTGACCCCATGGGCCAGAGCATGCCAGGCCCTCCTGTCTTCCACTGCCTCCCAGAGTTTGGTCAGATTCATGTTGGTAGCTTCGATGATACTATCCAACCATCTTATCCTCTGTCATCCCCTTCTCTTGCCTTCACACTTTCCTAATATCAGGGTCTTTTCCAGGGAGTCTTCTCTTCTCATGAGATGGCCAAAGTATTGGAGCTTCAGCTTCAGGATCTGTCCTTCCAGTGAGCACTCAGGGTTGATTTCCTTCAGAATGGATAGGCTTGTTCTCCCTGCAGTCCAGGGGACTCTCAAGAGTCTCCTCCAGCACCACAATTCAGAAGCATCAATTCTTCAATGGATATACCAGTGATTTTTGTTCTTATCACATAGCAGTGGCTTGAAATGAGTATTTTCTGCTATTTCCTCTGCACTTTGAAATACTCTTTTCATGGCCTTATGTGAAATGTCATATGTGATGTGGGTTTTTCTGGGTTTTGAAGATATACTTTTTAACTTAGCCTTTTTTAAACAACTAATTCTGATCCTTCTACCTTGTCATTTTTTAATATTGTTACATTTTGTTTCATTGCTTATTATGGCGTCTTTCTTTTTGATCATGCACTGCTTAACAGTTGTGTTTAACAAGCAGAAATATTAGAAATAAATTTGGAAATATTCTGACGGAAATACATTTTTAAAAAATTACAGTCATGTCACTTATCGTTCTTTGTGGGCCCTCTGACAGCAAAGAAAACTTCTCTGTATCCTATGACAACTATTTTTGGCTAGCTAGCCGTTTTGCATCTCCTGAAACTGGTTAATCCCTTCTTTTTCGTTATACAATACAATTGCTTTCATGTACTAACCATGTATTACATACTGTATTTCAACTACAGAGTCCTGGATAACTTACTTTAAACTCAATGTGACAGTGTGTATGGAGAAGTACACTTTCTTAAGTCCATAGAAGGACACTGCTTTTGCTGTTAGTTGTTGAAACTGGGAAAATGCATACAGCCCTGGCAATGGTGGATACTTTAGTGGCACATTGGAAGGAAACAAAAACGATTTATATTCAATGCAGTTTAGTTGCTTTCCTCTACCTCTGAAGCATTTCCGCCTGCCTTTTTTGTTTTTCCATGTAGTCATGATTACTAAGATGTCCAAGATTACTAGATGTAATCTTCACTCATCTAGTGTGTTGTTAAATATTAGAGAGGGAATCAGAAGTGCTTACAGTATTTCTTCTTCTTTTGATGCAGCATTTACATTTATTTCCTTGAAACAGATACAAGAACAAATCAGGATTTTGGAGAAAGGTACCATTCATGTGGGTGTTGGAACACCTGGAAGAATAAAGGCACTTGTAGAGCAAGGTAGGAAAGGACAGAATATTGTGTACTAATGAAAATGAAGCACATACAGTACAGAATAGTTTCTGTGAGTTAGAGGGCAATCCTAAGGCCCAGATCCATTAGCAGGAGTGGGTTAGGATGGGGCAGAAGTACAAGGGCACACCTGCTTTGTACACTCCACTCATCCCTATAGAATGCTCATTGAGTCTGTATCTGCAACCACTAGTGTTTTGGCCAGTGGTAGACACACTGTGGATGGAATCAGCATGGATCTGTTGAATCTAAAGAGTTTTTGTTCCTCTAAAACAGTGGTCCCCAAGCTTTTCCCAGCAGCGGACCAGTTGGGGAGGCGGGGTCCATATGCACAGGGCATGGAACACTTGCGCAGGGCCGTGGCACGCTTGTGGGGGCGTGGCATGCTCATGTGGGAGTGTGGTGCACTTGTGCAGGGGTGTGGTGAGCTTGAGCAGAGGGCATATGCATGCGTGGGGTGCCACTCATGGGGGGCACTCACGGGGGCAAGAGATCTGTGTCTGCGGCCCAGTCCTGCCTAAGCCATGGACTGGTGCCGAATCGGGCAGGTTGGGAACTCCTGTTCTAAAAGACCTCAGGATTAGGCCTTTTAGCTGGCATAATAGCTAGCCACTTTGCATCTCCTGAATCCCTTCTTTTTCACTGAACAATACAGTTGCCTTTATGTGCTAACCATATATTACATATTTCCACTACTAAGTCTTGGATAATTTACTTTAAACTCAGTCTGACGTTAACTATATATAGAAGTATACAGATGCCCATTTCTCATATAGCAACAGCAAATAAAAAACATCACAAAACAGCACAGAGAGAATTAAAAGACCTAGAGAAATAGAAAGATCTTAATTTAGTATCTACAAGATATAAATGTAGGCAACCAGACAGCTTCCTTGGGGAGAGCCCTCCAGAAATGTTTTGCCATCACCTTCTGGTTATCCCTCTCTGTTCCATCTCCAGAAGAGAGGCTACAAATATTGTCTAAGTGTACAAATAGGCTTGCACTGGAGAAAG